AACCGCACTTTATTCATGTTTAATACATTTATGTAAACATTATATATTTTCAAGAAAGTAAGTGGTAAAGGCCAAGATTATTATTTACCACATATAAAAAACATTAGTTCAACATTAAACATGGCAAGACCAAGATTTAACACTGATATTTTTAAAAGAGTTTATAATTATTGACTTTGAACACAACGATACGTGTATTTGTCAACAATCATATTGTTACTATTCTATATAGCACACGATTTTATCACAATTTTGTGTAAAAATAACTGCAATAAGGAGCATAAATATAAAAGTAATCTACAACATTTTTTCAGCTATCAACATATCATTCATTCGTATGAACAGTACCATGTTAGCACTTTATATGCGTATCTTGTGTCCACATAAAGCTCACTCTTACGAACGATTTCAATCACTTTAAACACAGTTCTTAATCTCATAAATACAAAAATACACTCCTCTTGCCTCTTCCTTTAATGCCATCCACAGAAAATACGAAAAAAACAAGATCAAGAAGATTTGGTGTAAAATAGTTAATATTTACTGACAGAAATAATAATTTGAAATGTGCCTACCTCCTGCAAATGGACGTATTTGGCCAAGTTCTCCACTTCACTCCGCTGTTTATCGGCGATCTCGTCAACATCCTTCCAAAAATGTAAATTATCTCGGACATAATGGTATCAAGAACATTTTAAACAAGTTTCAACTTGGTTTCAAGTAAATCATAGCTGTTTAACCATCGACAAGGTAAATCCACAACTTTGTCCAAATTCGGCCCCATTTTGTCAACCCATGTCGGTTGTCAACAATTCGGCCTTGTTACGCTTCCATTCACGCCATATCCATTGCACAAATAACAAATTTAACCCTTTGTTAAGGGTATTAAAATAAAAATACAAATGAAATATGCGAAATGCAGCATTTTATCACCCGGTAAAATGTTGCTTACGAGTCCTTGAAAACATTTCGTACAAATCTCGCGTGGTTTAGCAACAGGGACGTGACAGGGGGGGTAGAGACTTGAAAAATGAAAGCAAAGCCCCATACAGTATCGTAAAACCATTAAACCAACAATCAGCATTTAATTTGTATGACTTGTTCATATTAATAAATAATAATATGTATATATTTGTCGCTACAAGAAATAAAACAAACGTTTGTATGATTGTATTTAGCCAGGGGCGGCGCTAACCCTCTTCGAGTGGGGAGGTGTGAGTGATCTTTTGCCGACTGTTGTTTGGTTATTTTGCTGAGTCATTCGCCTATAGCAGTTGGATTTTTATTAGAAATCCCAGTCCGAGTTATTGAAATCCCAGTCAATAAAAACCCCTTTATTTATCGGTAGAATAGACAGTTTTAAGACTTTTTAAGCCACTGTGTGCAAGTGGCGGACACTTTATGAAATATTGGGGGGGTGGGGGGGGGGCACGGAAAATTTTTAAATTTGAATCCCGGAAATGGCATTTGCATCATTCTGAGACACGCATAATCAGAAAACCAAAAATTCCGGGCGCCAGAGTATGCCTGTTCGCAGGTAATGCTGTGAATAATATAGTTAACAACAAAAATCATGACTAAAGACACCAAAAACGGATCAAAATTGGAAATCGACTCACATTACTTGAATCCCATTCCCATTTTCGAGAACTTCATTTCCCATTCCCAGTGGCCAAATCCCAGTCTCAGCAACCCAAATCCCATTTTCCCAGTCTAAAAATAGATCAATCCTAGTTCCCATTTTACCCCTTCAGGGCCATCTATAGTAAATGTGCATGTTTAACTTTATTACCCTCTATTAAGTCGGTTTTTCACTAGCGAATTTTTCTGCTCGAAGCGACCTTTTTCCTTTGTCGGCATCCATTTTGTAGCCCTCGAAAAGTCAAAACCGTCAAAATTGAGGTCCGCAAAAGAAGGCCGACCTAAATCTGACCTAGGTTGGCACATCTCGGCATTTCTTAAAATCTGTTCCACGTCTTGGAACACTATTAATCACGCATTTACGAATCATTGAAATTGGATACTGAACGATATCCTAAGATATTAATATCCTACGATACTGATATCCTAAGATACTGAACGATATCCTACGATATTGATATCCTAAGATACTGATATCCTAAGATACTGATATCCTAAGATATTGATATATGTATTGTTGCTTTCAGGAAAAGCTTCACAGATGCTTTACAGAAGCTTCACAGAAGCTTCACAGAAATGAGATGTGTTTGATAGAAAACAAGTTGTGTACTTGGCGCAAACGATCACTTATATATCGAAGACCAGACTTGTTACAGAGAGGACAGTCCCTTTTGTGCTTAAGTTCAATCATTAAATGACCGAGAAAACTTTTATATTTTTTACGACGACATATGGGCGTGATGTAGGGTCGATGTAGGGTTGATGTGGGGTCGATGTAGGGTCGATGTAGGGTCGATTTATGATTCAATGATTCAATCTCATGGTTCAATGATTCATTATATGATTCATTGATTCAATCTTATGATTCAAAGATTCAATCTTATGATTCACTCTATGATTCAATGATTCAATGTTATGATTCAATGATTCAATGTTATGATTCAATGATTCAATCTTATAATTCAATGATTCACTCTATGATTCAATTATTCAATCTTATGATTCAATGATTCAATCTTATGATTCAATGATTCACTCTATGATTCATTGATTCAATCTTATGATTCAATGATTCAATCTTATGATTCAACAATTCAATCTTATGATTCAATGATTCACAGAGGAGTAGAGACTCCTTAGGCTCGGAGTCGAGCTCCTTATGTTCGGGGCAGCTCCATAGGGTCTTAGGCTCCGAGCTGGCGTATCGAGCTGCCTCCGAACCTAAAGAGCTCGGCTCCTAGCATAAGGAGCCTCTACTCCTCGGTGAATCATTGTATCATAAGATTGAATCATAAGATTGAATTTTTGAATCATAAGATTGAATCATTGAATCATAAGATTGAATCAATGAATCCTAGAGTGAATCATTGAATCATAAGATTGAATCATTGAATCATAAGATTGAATAATTGAATCATAGAGTGAATCATTGAATCATAAGATTCAATCATTGAATTATAACATTGAATCATTGAATCATAACATTGAATTATTGAATCATAAAGTGAATCATAAGATTGAATCATTGAATCATAAGATTGAATCAATGAATCATATGATGAATCATTGAATCATGAGATTGAATCATTGAATCATAAATCGACCCTACATCGGCCCCACATCGACCCTACATCGACCCCACATCGATCCTACATCGACCCTAAATCACACCCATATGTCGACGTAAAAAATATAAAAGTTTTCAAACCATTTATTTTCGGTCATTTATGATTGAACTTAAGCACAAAAGGGACTGTCCTCTCTGTAACAAGTCTGGTCTTCGATATATAAGTGATCGTTTGCGCCAAGTACAGAACTTGTTTTCTTTCAAACACATCTCATTTCTGTGAAGCTTCTGTGAAGCTTCTGTAAAGCATCTGTGAAGCTTTTCCTGAAAGCAACAATACATATATCAATATCTTGGGATATCAGTATCTTAGGATATCAGTATCTTAGGATATCAATATCGTAGGATATCGTTCAGTATCTTAGGATATCAGTATCGTAGGATATTAACATCTTAGGATATCGTTCAGTATCTTAGGATATCAGCATCTTAGGATATCATACAGTATCTCAGGATATCATACAGTATTTTAGAATATCATATAGTATCTTAAGATATCATACAATATCTTAGGATATCATACAGTATCTTACGATAGCATACAATATCTTAAGATATCATACAGTGTCTTCGGATATCCTACAGTATCTTAGGATATCATACAATATTTTAGGATATCATACAGTATCTTACGATATCATACAATATCTTAGGATATCATACAGTATCTTAGGATATCACACAGTATCTTAGGATATCAATATCTCGGATGATGAAAGCAGCCACGTTGATGATAGTAGCCGCGATAATGAAAGCAGCCACGACGATGAAAGTAGCCACGATGATGAATCGGATAGTGAAACATCTGAGACAAGTGACGATATATATTAGAAGCATAACCCTGTAAAACGTTTTAAAGAAATAAATGTATCTTAAAACTGAAATTTTGTGCAAATTTATGCCCGCCACGCGCCCGATTTTAAGGTACTAGATAATCCCTATTTATCCATAATAAACACTTACGAGATTAACATTTTGCTTGTAACCATTAATGATTGTTAATAACTTTGGCGGTATACGTTTTAGAGAGTCACAAACGACAAAATTTCAATATATCTTGCATATAGTCTGTAATAACTCTCTGTTCTTTAGTTTTTTTTCCTGTCTCAAGCTCGCTGGGTGAAATAAAAAAATTGTATACATCCACACGGGGTGGGCACCCGGGTTAATCACTTTTTAATGACTCTGTAATATGTATTTATCGACCATAACAACGGCGTTGACAATGATTTTAACTTGGGCTTGGCAACCCGTAGTTCTGTTTAAAAATGTTCATACGTATGTCTGATTTTTTATTATTCTTTGTTTAATAATCCTAAACATGGTGATTACATCCCCATGGAAAAGCAAGGATGGTGTTCAAGTAGTGGACACTCTATGATAATCCAATATATAAAACCTTGCAATACGATGAATTTAAATACACCTTGTATACTCTACTTCATATTGTCATTTATAATTTTGGGGAATAGTTTGAATAAACCGGGATATTCTCTGCAAAATTCCCCTACCGGAATCTTTGCAAACTCCTATAAGTCAGGAATTTTCGTAACACAATTCTCACTGCGCGTGCGTATAATATCTACGTCCCACAAGCATTACAGCAACTTTGGTAGAATATATATCGGGGACGTGTTAAAATTCACTCAGTTGGTTCACAGAGAAGAGATATACAGAGGGGAAACACGCAGCAAATTGTGTCACGCCGGTATATTCAGTCTATTATTATAGAAAATTATATTAATTCGCTATTTTATTAAATTTTGACCATGCAGAGGAAAAAACTATACGTATTATAGAAGTAAACATGTTTTTTTTATGCAAGAGATATATTTTGAGGCATTTATATCATTTGCTGCTTTGTTTTTTATATATGGGCATCTCAAACCTTCAGCCAGTGCTTTTCACGATTTTAATAAGGAATAGATAGGGAAATAAACAAACTTTTGCAAAATAAAATGTAATGTTAACACTTTGAATAAAAAGAAATCAATAAAAGTGATCGCTTACCGTTATTCTACAATAATTTATTGAACAAAACTTCCATGGGTATCTCATTTTAAAAAAAAAAGCGATTTTCACCTTTCGAAGGGCGTTTTCCCTATCTTTTGCTATGAAATTTCGGCGACGGCACTGGCTGGAAGATTTTGCGTGGCGCGTGGAACCTGCGTGGACGGCGTGACACAAAAATTCAGGTTATCGAGGTGTCTGTTTCCTCTCTGATGTATCTTTACTCTGTGGTTGGTTAGAAGGAATATATGTGGAGCAGCCAGAAATATAAAACTAAAAATTATAGGTGAATAAGCGACAGCAGAAGAGCCTGAAATAAGCCAAAACTGTAGATAAACAAATGGCAGCAATACAAAAATATGAAGAAAGTCTAAATAAATTAACATGAATCTGAATAAATTAAAATACTTAAGAAATGATGACGTCATGGGCGGAGCAATGCGCTCCGCCCGCTCCGCCCGTCCCAGAACCCCTATTCTCTATACTACTGGTATGATAAAGGTGACCTGGACCAGGCTAAGGATTATTACCAGCGAGCACTGGAATTTGAAGAGAAACAGCTAGCATTTAGTATAACATATTTACTGAATCGCATTGGCATAAATAATGCCTTTATATTGTGCTTGTTGTGGTCAATATCTTTGAAATGTAACATAATCTAACAGACTGAACAGCATATTTTAAATGAGCTGATAAACAGATGTGATATTTGGGGAGGGAACTATGCTGAGAGATTAAACCTGCTCTATATGCAAGGGATAAACACATCTATCTGGTTAATTATCGACCTAGGTTATTGCTGAATAAAATGCAAGGGTAAATTATCCAAAACCACTTAAAGATTGTGCATATTTGACATGAAAATATGTATGTAACATAAAACGGTTTGAACATGTGCTCGATTGACACTCGGTTGTCGCTTTGAAACACATAGCATTTTCATTGATATAACTTTCAATTGTCGGGCATAATAATTTTCAGAATATTAAGTGCTAAGCAAAAATGTTTAGGTAGTGCGTATGGATATATTACGGGTTCTAGTTAATCACAAAGTTTATAAATTGTATAAAATGTATCTATTGACACTCAACTCTAGAAATATCACTATGATATATCAGATTTATTTATGTAGAAATGTGTCAATCGATACAAAACTTGGCTTAGTAATCAATTTCAAACCCTTTCATTAATACCAAATACATTTTTAGACATTCTCAACAAATTATTCTTAAATTAGCCTTGTTCTGATTTAAAAGCTGCCTAGTTGCCCATTATTTCATATTTCTATCGTGACAAACGAAGTGACAACCGATGTTAGTTTCATTCCATCCGTCGCGTCGGGAAACCCTTATTAGCATAATTAGCGTATAACACTAACTTTGTGTTGTATAATGCGTACAACGCCGTATACTGCGAGTCCCTTTCGTTACATATTTTTGAAAGCCTGTGCAACTTTCTTGCTAGTACTGGCTAACGCGTCAGCATTAGGGAGGTCTAGAAGCCCCGGAGAAATCACGAAGTCCGGGTCTTTCTTTACCACGTACGAATACGCTGAATAGTAATTTTTGGGTTTGTCTGTCTCACTGAGTTCAATTAAATGCCGCATTTACTCTTCTCGAGCTTTCCGATAGCTCGCCAACTTCATCTTGTGGACAATTTTTTAGCCATGTGAAAGTGACTATATATACCGCCCTTTTCATCAGCCTCCGTAATTCCCACCCACAGAGTGCTCCTTCGTACCCATGCGTCGACAATTATATCTGCAAATTCTGCTCTAGAAAGATGTGAAATGTCACATTCACTATTGGTGATTATAAATCAAACGTTCTTCACTTTCGGAGTACCCAATTTAGCAGTTGACTCCAAACCCTTACCCGCATGTGAAAGTAACCGGATGTTATATTACTATGCTATTTATAAACAGTATGTGTGACATATCTAGCGTAAAACATTTGCGATACCTATCTTTATTGACGGACTATAACCTCTCAAATGACCTACTTGTGCTCTGCCGAAATTTGTAGAAACAAACAACGTATAAAACCTTTGTGCATGATTAAGAATGCTATATGACATAAAAAATTATATCCATATTCTGTTAATTATTAACTTTGAGAATTTTAATGAAACTTAATTGTTCTATAATGTTATACTAGATCTTCTGTGAACGAAATGGAGCTGAAATACTTCGTTCGCAGACCATTCTATCCCTTGTACTTTTGAAATGTACAATGATGTTTTGGCATATGGGGCCCAGACAATAACTTTCAGAAGTTGTTGGGACACATGTAGTTTTAGCTTGTAAGTGGATCATTACAGTTTTTTACACACAATACCGCTCCCCTCACCCAATCAATGTTGTTTAAACCAAAACACATCAAACCCGACGAGAAATGGGACACAACATTGAACAGGCGGCGGGGGGGTTGTCGTTTGTTGAAATTCAAAGGTTTGGGGGCATCTGTCCCACGACTTTTGAAACTGATTGTATAATGATAAACCTCTCTTTACAGGTAGTTTACCAGTGTCTACTTGAATTAAGGCTACATAATAACAATATTAGTATGACCTTAGTTGTGGGTTATCCCATTCTTTGTTACGCTTACAGAATATATAATACGAGGACCAGATACATATGTTAATAATTTTCCGAAAATAGTACTTTCTACATTGTACATCAATAATAATAATAATAATAATAATAATAATAATAATAATAATAATAATAATAATAACTAGAGGCCACTCAGAGACTGCATACCTCCGAAACGTAAAGAATTATAGCCGAAACGTAAAGAATTACAATGTTTACAATTTTCGGAGTGTCTATTGTTTTGCGTTTTATTAAAATACTCTATGGCAACCGCAATTTTTCTACACTTATATAATTCATCAGTTAAACTTCTGCACATCAGTGTTTTCAAGCAAGTCCAGCAATCCTGTTCTGGTGTGACAGATTACCGAGAGCAGCATGTTGTAGTAAACGAAAATACTGTCACATATCATGCTGGATATCTCTTGAAGAAATGTTTTAGCATTTTCAACATTCATGATTGTTGCTCATGTGAAAAAACTTTGGAGTCGAAGAATTTGGATACCAGCAGCAAATTATTCTACTAATTGCAAACTTTAAAGTGGCCAATGCTTCTGCAGAATTACACATGCCTTCTCAGTATTTCCTTGACCATATTTTGCAACTGCATATACCCATCATATTGCAACTTTGCTCAACATTTCCTGTGGAACACATGCTGAAGTTGTTTCTGAGGATGCACATATATTATACAATCAAGATTGGGAACAAGAACTTTGCATCTAAAAAAGAAGCAGAAAATACATCAAAGTAACCCACTTATAAACCACAGGGTGTATAAAAAAAGGGTAATCGAATTTTAGCTCGCTATTGTATCTGAATTACTCTGCGTATGAACGAGATTTTTTCACATACGGAAAGATCATGCTTTTAGCTGTTGAAATATCTTCTTCATGCCAAATGGATAAAAATGAGCAAATACGAATCCGATAAAATAAGTTAGTCAGAATTGCATATCTTCACCGTTGAGAGTTGGGTCTAAAACCATTGAAAATGAACCCCCTTTAGGACTTAAGTTGATGAATTTTACTTCATCAGTTAAACTGCACACATATTCATAATTATTATTAAGTAGGAATAAATCTTAGCTAAGCTACGACACGTTCGTGATTAATTGCTTTTTCTTTTTTTATGCCTTGTTTTAATTAAGCACAGAGGTAAAAATATGCGATTTTGACTAACATATTAATCGGCCTGTTACATGCTTATTTTTTCTCCACTTGGCATGAAAAGTATGTCATTCAATAGCTAAAAGCCTGATCTTTCCGAATATGAAAACCAATTGTTCATACGCCGAGTAATTCACGTATAATAGCGCGCTGAAGTTTGATTACCTTTTTTTTATACATCCTGTACATCTTATAAACCGCACTTTATTCATGTTTAATACATTTATGTAAACATTATATATTTTCAAGAAAGTAAGTGGTAAAGGCCAAGATTATTATTTACCACATATAAAAAACATTAGTTCAACATTAAACATGGCAAGACCAAGATTTAACACTGATATTTTTAAAAGAGTTTATAATTATTGACTTTGAACACAACGATACGTGTATTTGTCAACAATCATATTGTTACTATTCTATATAGCACACGATTTTATCACAATTTTGTGTAAAAATAACTGCAATAAGGAGCATAAATATAAAAGTAATCTACAACATTTTTTCAGCTATCAACATATCATTCATTCGTATGAACAGTACCATGTTAGCACTTTATATGCGTATCTTGTGTCCACATAAAGCTCACTCTTACGAACGATTTCAATCACTTTAAACACAGTTCTTAATCTCATAAATACAAAAATACACTCCTCTTGCCTCTTCCTTTAATGCCATCCACAGAAAATACGAAAAAAACAAGATCAAGAAGATTTGGTGTAAAATAGTTAATATTTACTGACAGAAATAATAATTTGAAATGTGCCTACCTCCTGCAAATGGACGTATTTGGCCAAGTTCTCCACTTCACTCCGCTGTTTATCGGCGATCTCGTCAACATCCTTCCAAAAATGTAAATTATCTCGGACATAATGGTATCAAGAACATTTTAAACAAGTTTCAACTTGGTTTCAAGTAAATCATAGCTGTTTAACCATCGACAAGGTAAATCCACAACTTTGTCCAAATTCGGCCCCATTTTGTCAACCCATGTCGGTTGTCAACAATTCGGCCTTGTTACGCTTCCATTCACGCCATATCCATTGCACAAATAACAAATTTAACCCTTTGTTAAGGGTATTAAAATAAAAATACAAATGAAATATGCGAAATGCAGCATTTTATCACCCGGTAAAATGTTGCTTACGAGTCCTTCAAAACATTTCGTACAAATCTCGCGTGGCAAAGTAACAGGGACGTGACAGGGGGGTAGAGACTTGAAAAATGAAAGCAAAGCCCACACAGTATCGTAAAACCATTAAACCAACAATCAGCATTTAATTTGTATGACTTGTTCATATTAATAAATAATAATATGTATATATTTGTCGCTACAAGAAATAAAACAAACGTTTGTATGATTGTATTTAGCCAGGGGCGGCGCTAACCCTCTTCGAGTGGGGAGGTGTGAGTGATCTTTTGCCGACTGTTGTTTGGTTATTTTGCTGAGTCATTCGCCTATAGCAGTTGGATTTTTATTAGAAATCCCAGTCCGAGTTATTGAAATCCCAGTCAATAAAAACCCCTTTATTTATCGGTAGAATAGACAGTTTTAAGACTTTTTAAGCCACTGTGTGCAAGTGGCGGACACTTTATGAAATATTGGGGGGGTGGGGGGGGGGCACGGAAAATTTTTAAATTTGAATCCCGGAAATGGCATTTGCATCATTCTGAGACACGCATAATCAGAAAACCCAAAATTCCGGGCGCCAGAGTATGCCTGTTCGCAGGTAATGCTGTGAATAATATAGTTAACAACAAAAATCATGACTAAAGACACCAAAAACGGATCAAAATTGGAAATCGACTCACATTACTTGAATCCCATTCCCATTTTCAAGAACTTCATTTCCCATTCCCAGTGGCCAAATCCCAGTCTCAGCAACCCAAATCCCATTTTCCCAGTCTAAAAATAGATCAATCCTAGTTCCCAATTTCCCCTTCAGGGCCATCTATAGTAAATGTGCATGTTTAACTTTATTACCCTCTATTAAGTCGGTTTTTCACTAGCGAATTTTTCTGCTCGAAGCGACCTTTTTCCTTTGTCGGCATCCATTTTGTAGCCCTCGAAAAGTCAAAACCGTCAAAATTGAGGTCCGCAAAAGAAGGCCGACCTAAATCTGACCTAGGTTGGCACATCTCGGCATTTCTTAAAATCTGTTCCACGTCTTGGAACACTATTAATCACGCATTTACGAATCATTGAAATCGGAATATAACTGGAACGTTACCTCCAGCTGGAAAATTCGAAAGTTGAAGCCAAATTTTAACTGCAGACGCGCGAAATTTGATCTTCAAACATCTAACGTATATACACAATACC